ACATTCGAAAGATGAAAAATATAACAATTAAAATTGGTAATTCAATAAAAGGAGAACCAATAATCTAAAAGAGAAATCAGAGGGAAAAAGAAGACCTGGGATGTAGCAATGAGAGACAGTGATGGCAAGTATGAAAAAGAAGAGGCAAAGGCTGAAATTGAGTGAAAGGAGAAGAAGGAAAGGCAAAAAGCATTTGAAGAGATAATGACAGAAATATTTTTTTTCAGGATGCTGAAAAACACTGATTTTCACATTTAGGGATTTTCATATGTAGTTCAAGAAATAAAATTACCCTACTGGTCTGACATGCTAAATATAATGGTAAGTAAGAAACAATAAATAATATAAATATTTTATATTTAATTAATATAAATATAAATAATAAAGGTAATCATGTAGATAAACCTAAACAATGAAGTATAAAAAAAAATCCTGTCTTATTTGTGGGTTAAAAAAGGAGGAAAAGTACTGGGGAAGATGACAGCATAGGAAGACCCTGAGCTCACCCCATTCCACATTTACACTGAAGTATCATCCACATTCAGAACAAACTCCACAACTAAATATAGAGAAGTTGTGTCAGAAAGGTCAGAAAGGCAGAGGGAGACTGCCCAGGGGATGGGAGGGAGATGCATGCATGGAGAGGGCAGAGAAACACTCCCTCACACCAGGGAGCTCTCCTGGAGAAGACTAAACTCCATAATGTTTGGCTTTGAAAACCAGATGGGCTGAATTCCAGGAGTTTGTAAAACCAGTGAGACCTGGAGCTTTAAACGTCTCCTGAGTCAGCAGTGGGTGAGTGGCAAGGGACAGTGACAGCTGGGTCACTGACCTTAAAGAGACAGCCACCTGCATGAGGAAGCAAAATAAAAGCAGCGGTTTATACAACACCAGGGGCAAACGGGAGACACATCTGTACATACTGCTTTTGGAGTGTGTTGAAAGACTTCTCTAAAAATGAGGGAAGCTGGCAGATGCCATTTTCTTCCACCACAACCCAACATAAACACACAGCCACCTGCAGGAGGTGGGGCTACACACACATTTGCTACTTCACCTGCTAGCAGTGTGCCTGGTTCAGGAGTTCTCCTAAGGACTCCCACACTCCAAGCCTACTAGCATCAGCCCCTGTGCTTAGTACAAATTTTATTAAAATTGCACACCCTGCCCAGCTGCCCCAGGGCACAGTTGCCTCAGTGCGCCCTGCTCAGCTACCATGCAGAGCCCAGCAGTGCATACCCCCAGCTACTATGGTGTATCAGGCTCAGCTACACCCAGCCAACATCATGAACTTACCGAGCCTCACACCCCTAGCCACCCGCAGTGTGCAGGCCACAGCTGCCAGTGATTTGAGGGATCTGGCATATTTTGCTAACACTGCTCTCCTGTTCCCAAGTTCCATGGTGGGCACATTGCCTCAGACCTGGCCTCTCTGGGTCCTACTGACAGCACACAGAGCAAGTAGATCCCACAATAGGCAGAGAGACAGTGTAAACAACCTCACTGAAAGGAAAAGTGAATCACACACAATACCAGAGCGTTGGCAACACACATAGGATATTCTCCTAAAGTGTCAGGTTCTGGAGAGCAAGGGACATTGCATTGCATGATGCTACAGGACTTCTTTTTTATAAAGTCGCTACTTCAAGAATGGAACACATAGCTGACTTTCTCAACACAGAGAAACATAAACAGAGAGGCAGACAAAATGAGGAAACAGAAAAATATCCCAAATGAAAGAAAAAGACAATGCCACAGCCAGAAATCTAAGTAAACAGATATAAGTAATATGGCTGATAAGGAATTTAAAGCAATGATCATAAGGATACTCACCAGACTTGAGAAAAGAGTAGGAGACTTGAGTGAGACACTTAACACAAAGATAAGGAATAACATAGCAGACATAAAGAGCTGAATAAATGAAATGAAGAAATGAATAGTAGGAAGGAAGAAGCAGAGGAATGAATTAGTGACATAGTAGATAGAGTAATGGAAAGTAATCAATCTGGACAAAAGACAGAAAAAAGAATTACACAAAATAAGAATAGACTTAGGGGACTCAGTGACTCCATCAAATATAATAAGATTCATATTATAGGAGTCCCAGAAGAAGAGAGGAAAAGGGGACAGAACATTTATTTCAAGAAATAATAACTGAAAACTTCCCTAATCTGGGGAAGGAAAAAGATATCCAGTTCCAGGAGCACAGAAAACTCTCATCAAAATCAGCAAAAGCAGATCTACACCATGACATATTGTAATTAAGTCAGCAAAACACAATGATAAAGAAAAAAATTTTAAAGCAGCAAGACAAAAGAAATCAGTAAATTACAAGAGAAAACCCATTAGGCTAGCAGGAGATTTCTCAACAGAAACTTGGCAAGCCAAAAGAGAGTGGCAGGATATAGTCAATGAGCTGAATGGGAAAATATCTGCACTGCAGCCAAGAAATACTTTATCTGGCAAGGCTACCATTCAGAATAAAAGGAGAGATAAAGAACTTCCCAGACAAACAAAAACTAAAGGAGTTCATGACCACTAAACCAGCCCTGCAAGACATACTACAGCAGACTCCAAATGGAAAGGACAGACCAAAAGTGACACTATAAAAGTAGGAAACACAAAAGCAGTAAAAATGAATATTTCTATCAAAAAATTATTCAAGCAACTCACCAAAAAAAAGGCTACAAAATATAATAGCATATACTAAAAACATGAGGAGGAGAGGAGAAAAGGCTAAGTTCAAACTTAAGCGACCATCAACTTAATATAGACTGCTATATGTAGAAGACATTATATACAAACATAATGGTAACCATGTATTAAAAACCACTAATAAACATGCAAATAATAAGAGAAAGAAATCCAGATGTATCATTAAATAAAATCAACAAAGCATGAAAGATAGAAAAACAAGAAAAAATAAGAAAAAAAATCTTCAGGGCAGCCTAGGTGGCTCAGCAGTTTAGCACCACCTTCGGCCCAGGGCCTGATCCTGGAGACCCAGGATTGAGTCCTTCATCGGACTCCCTGTGTGGAGTCTGCTTCTCCCTCTGCCTGTGTCTCTGCCTCTCTCTCTCTGGTCTCTCATGAATAAATAAATAAAATCTTTTTTAAAAATGGTAATAAATACATATAACCTATCAATAACTACTCTGAATGTAAAGGAACTAAATGCTGCAATCTAAAGACACAGAGTGACAGAATGGATTAAAAACAAGCTCCATCAATATGCTGCCTATAGGAGATTCATTTTAGACCTAAAGACACCTGCAGATTGAAAGTGAAGGAATGGAGAAATATCATGCAAATGGATGTCAAAAGCAAACTGGAGCAGCAATTGTTACATCAGACAAAATAGACTTAAAACAAAGACCGTAACAAGAATCAAAGAACGACACTATATAATAATAAAGACAACATTCCAACAAGAAGATATAATAATTATAAATATTTATGCACCCACCATAGAAACACCCAAATACATAAAACATTTAGTAACTAAATTAAAGGAACTGGTCAGTAATAATACAAGGGGACTTTAACAGCCCACTTACATCAATGGACAAATTATTTAAACAGAAAATCAACAGGGAAACAAAAACTTTTTGAATTACACATTGCAATACACAAATTTAACAGATATATAAACCATTCCATCCTAAAGCAGCAAAATATACATTCTTTTCAAGTGCAGATGGAACGTTCTCCCATAAAACCAGCTCAATAAATTCAAAAAAGATCAAAGTCCTAGCATGCATGTTTTTTGACCACGATGCTATGAAACCAGAAGTCAAGTACAAAAAAAAAAGTCTGGAAAGAACAAAAATACATGAAGGCTAAATAATATGCAATTAAACAATCAATGGGTGAACTAGGAAAATAAAGAAGAAATTAAAAAGTACATGGAAACAAATGAAAATGAAAAACACAATAGTCTAAAACCTTTGGGATGCAGCAAAAGCACTTCTGAGAGGGAAGTTTATAGCAATATAAGCCTATCTCAAGAAGCTAGAAAAATTTCAAATAAACAACCTGACCTTACGCCTAAAGAAGTAGAAAAAGAACAACAAACAAAACCTAAAACCAACAGAAGGAAGGAAATAATAAAGATCAGAGCAGAAATAGGGGTGCCTGAGTGGCTCAGTCATTTAAGCATACAACTCTGGATTTTGGCTAGGGTCATGACCTTGGGGTCATGAGATTGAGCCCTGCATCAGGTTCTGCACTGAGCATGGAGTCTGCTTCAGATTCTCTCTCTCCCTCTTTCTCTCTCCCTACCTTCCCCAGCTCACACACACTCTCTTTCTCTCTTAAAAAAAAAAATGAAAATTTTTTAAATTAAAAAAAGAACAGAAATAAATGATATCGAGATTTTTTTTAAAAAAACACCAAAACAAAAACAAAACAAAACAAAAATCAATAGAACACATCAATGAAACCAGGAGCTGATTCTGTGAGAAAAAAAATCAATAAAATTGATAAACTTCTAGGCAGACTTATCTAGAAAAAAGAGAAAAGGTGTTAAAAAATAAAATTACAAATGAGAGAGGAGAAATAATTACCAACACCACAGAAATACAAATCATTGTAAGAGAATATTATGAAAAACTATATGCCAACAGAGAAGACAACCTAGAAGAAATGGATAAATTCCTAGAAACATATAACTACCAAAACTGAAACAGAAAGAAATAAAAAAAAAATTGAACAGACTGATAACCAGCAAGAAATTGAATCAGAAATCAAAGAATTCCCCCCCCAAAAAACAAAATTCCAGGACCAGATAGCTTAATAGGTGAATTGACCAAATATTTAAAGAAAAGTTAATATCTATTCTTAAATATTCCAATAAATAGAAAAGTAAGGAAAACTTCCAAATTCACTTTATGAGGCCAGCATTATGCTGATACCAAAACCAGCTGAAGACACCACTAGAAAAGAAAAATACAGGCCACTATCCACACTGAACATAGATGCAAAAATCTTCCGTAAAATACCAGCAAACTCAATTCACCAATGCGTTTAAAAAAATCATTCACCATGATAAAATAGGATTTACTCCTGGGTGCAAGAGTGGTTCGATATCTGTAAATCAATCAACATGATACATTACATCAATAAGAGAAAGGATAAGAACTATATGATCATTTCAATAGAGAAAAAGCATTTGACAAACTTCAAAATTCATTCATGATAAAAATTGTCAACAAAGTAAGTTTAGAGGGAATATACCCAACACAATAAAGGTCATACATGAGAAATCCACAGCTAACATACTCAATGAGGAAAAACTGAGAGCTGGCACAAAAATGGACACATGGCTCAATGTAACAGAATAGAAAACATAGTAATAAATTCATAATTATGTGGTCAATTAATCATCAACAAAGCAGGAAAGAATATCCAATGGGAATATCCAATGGGACAATCTCTTTAACAAATGGTATTGGGAAAATTGGACAGCAACATCCAAAAGAAAGAAACTGGACCACTCCTCCACACCACACACCAAAATAAATTCAAAATGGGTGAAAGATTTAAATATGAGAAAAGAAACAATCAAAATACTAGAAAACACAAGCTGTAACCTCTTTGATATTGGCCAGAGCAACCCTTTTCTAGGTTGCCATATATGTCTCCTGAGGCAAAGGAAACAAAAGCAAAAGTAAACTATTGGTACTAAACCAAAATGAAAAGCGTCAGCATAGTGAAGGAAACAATAAACTAAAAGGCAACCTATGGAATGAGAGAAGATATTTGCAAATGATATATCTGGTGAAGTGTTAATAACCATAATATATAAAGAACTTATAAAACTCAACACCCAAAACATGTAATCCAATTTAAAAATGAAAAGACATGAACAGACATTTCTCCAAGGAAGATATACAGATGGCCAACAGATATATGAAAAGATGTTCATCATCACTTACCATCAAGAAAGTGCAAATCAAAACTACAGGGAGATATCACCTGACACTCATCAGAATAACTAAAATCAACAACACAAAAACAAGTGTTGGCAAGGATGTGGAGAAAAAGGAACACTCATGCACTGTAGGCAGAAATGCAAACTGGTGCAGCCACTGTGGAAAACAGTATGGAGGTTCCTCAAAAAGTTAAAAATAGAACTACCATACCCAACAACTGGGTATTTTCCCAAAGAATACAAAAACATTAATTCAAAAGGATAGATGCACCTCTAGTTTATAGCAGCATGATTTACAATATGCAAAATATGGAAGCAGCCCAAGTGTTGATCAACCGATGAACGGGTAAAGAAGAGGTGGCATATATACAATGGAATACTATTGGGCCATAAAAAAGAATGAAATCTTGCCATTTGCAATGACATGGATTGGAGCTAGAAAGTATTACACTAAGTGAAATAAGTCAGTTGGAGAAAGACAAATACCATATGATTTCATTCATATGTGGAATTTCAGAAACTAATGAGCAAAGGAGGAAAAGAGAGAGAGAGAGAGAGAGAGAGAGAGAGAGAGACAAGCCAAGAAACAGATTCTTAACTATAGAGAACATATGATGATTACCAGAGGGGAGGTGGGTAGGGGGATGGGTGAAAAAGGTGATGGGGATTAAGGAGTGCACTTGTCTGTGATGAGCCACCAGGTGATGTATGAAATTGTTGAATCACTATATTGTACACTTGAAACTAATAGTACACCGTATGCTAACTATATTGGAATTAAAAACTTAAAAAACTAAGAGCCAACTAAACTTTGTTAAGGAAATCTAAGATTTCTGCATGAGATGAGAAGTGGGCAAAAATACTTTATGTTAAGTGTGTATATGAGAATCTATAGGTTAACCACTTACAAAAGTAAGAACAAGAATATAAATGTCAAGCTAGTATAAGGAAAACTAGTACAATGACAAACTAGTACTAGGAAAAATGGAACAAGAGGGAAAAATATGTCAATCAATTTCCAAAAAAAAAAAAATGTCTTTTTTCAACAAAGGAGTTGGGAAAAAGAGGGAAATGGAAAGAATAAGGAGCACAAAATAAAAGAAGTAGAATTGCATCTAAATACACTTTCTAAAATACAACAGTATGACATTTACAAAGAAGAAATAATGGTGGCCTAGAAATGTGTGAAAAATTCTCAGCTTTATTTGTCATTAGAAAAATGCAAATTAAAATCACAAAGAAATATTTCATGCCCGACAAATTGGCAAAGGTTACAATTTTGACATATTAAGTATTGCCAAGTATATGAAGAAATGGGGACTCTCATAAGCTTCTGCTGGGAGTGGAACAGTGTTTGCTAGTGCCTGGTAAAACTAAACATATGCCCACTGGCCAGAACAGCCGTTCAACTGGAGGCGATCAATTATGCATGGAGTCAATAATTAGCTCTTGAGCTCCCATTGCCCAGGCCCTGCCCACCTGCCTCAAGGGCTAAAGGAATCAATATCCCAGCATCTATATACTTATTCTTGATGCAGAAGGATGTAGGTTCACATTGATGCTGGGAATTCTTGCCCTAGAGAAACTCTTGCACATATACTTCAGAAAGCATATGAAAGAACATCACAGAATTGTTCATAATAGGAAATAACTAAGGGGGAACAAATATCTCTCGGCAACAGAAAGAATAATCAAGTTGTAGTGTAATCATTCAATGGGATGTTGTGCATCCATGAAAATGAAGGAAACACAGGGGCACACATAGACATTTATGAAGATTGATCTCAAAAATAGAGCGTTAAGCAAGAAGAAAGACAAGACATTATGATTCCATATACATAATGTTAAAAAACAAGCAAAAGTAAACAAAATGCTAAATAGAGATATGTGTATATTCATTAAAATTCTAAAGAAAAGCAAGAAAATAATGAGCATAAAGTTGAGATTGGTTTCTAAGAAGACAAAGGGGTGACTGAGTGGCTCTGCTGATTAAGCATCTGCCTTCAGTTCAGGTCATGATCCTGGGGTCCTGGCATCAAGCCCCACATCAGGCTCCATACTTAGTGGAGAGTCTGCTTCTCCCTTTCCCTCTGCCCCTCCTCCCAACTCATGTTCTCTCATTCTCTTTCTCAAATAAATAAATTGAAAACTATTTTTTAAAAAAAGGATATGAAGACAAAGAAAAGACACAGTTATTAAGTTCTCTAAGTATTTACTTTAGTATTATTCTTTAAGATGCATAGATATGTAGATAAGTATAATGTGCTGTTGTGTATAATTGACATATAAAACAATAGAAATGTTTCAAATAACATGGTAGAAAAATTCCTTGAGCTTATGAGGAGAGTCTCTCTCCTTGAAAAAGAGAAGAATGAAAAAACCTTGGGAACTCATAATTTTTTTCAGGTATACCACTTCCTAGGACGTGATGTGGCTCCAAATATCTCCTGTGGTTTGGATGTTTTCTTGAAAACTTGAAAATTCAAGAATGCCAAAGGACAGAATGAGCTGTTTCATTATCAAGTCTTAAACTATATGAATCTATAAATACATGTGACTGTTTCTGTAAGCTGGAATTAAAAAGACAAAATAAGAAAATGAGTTTCCATTTTACAATTTGGGGGCATACTAACATGCTTGTGTTCACACTGATGTTGAAGTTGATGCTTAAATAGTTATAAGGTACTTATTTGACTTTGAGTATGTTTCCCCCTTTGGGTTTAAACTAACCTCCCAAATAGTTAATTTATTACCAAAAACAATCAATTACAAACTAAACAGTGTTTTAAATTTTTGAATTCAATCTTTTTCATTTGCCCATTTGTTTGGGATTTATTGGAATGTGAAACCACTGTAAATGTGAGTTTGGTCATCATCATGAGATTTATGTACTATATGTTAGACCTGGAACTGTATCACCATAGAACCAATTAATTCTTATAACTAATAATTAGAACCTATCATGTGCTTTATGTACATTTTCTCCAGTCTTCACCAAGACTCTGCAAAATAAATATTTTAATTCCCACTTTGCTTAGGAAATTGAGACACTTAATATCTTTATTACAGAAGTAAGAGATGACTTGGATTTAGACTCAATACACTACTCTCTTCAAAAAGTGAAACTGGTGACACAAGCAGATTTTTAATCACTGCAAAAGGTCAGGATATAGTAAACAAAGACAGCATTGGAGTTTGTTAGGTTTTTAATTGATTGACACTCAGCAATTTTGCGTCACACTTTTATTTCTTTTAGAAAAGATCCCATGGTTTTGTAGGGAGTCAGTAGGACTTAATCATAGTGGGATTTAGAGCTGCCAATCAAATGCATTAAGGTCAAAGGCTACCCAGCCCCCTAACTGCAACCTGACTACCATTCCTTATTTGGAGGACTTTTTATAGGAAGTTACATTAAAAATTTCTCCTCAAACCTTAATGTGCTCATAAATCGCTAGAGACCTGGGATACACTTGGACGAATATATCAGTTTATTGAAATTACCCAGATTAATCCATTTGGGTGAAAGCTCTAATTATCAAAATATCTGGCATATTTTCCCAGACCAATTTTGACACTCAGTGTAGTTCTATTTCATTATTTGAGAATATGCTTCTAATAGCTCTGATTGGTTATAATCTCACTCCTCGACTTCCCAAGAAAATACATTCCTGTTCCACCACGTGACTCTAAATTCAACCCAGCATAGCTGCATTTCAAGTATTTGTCAAGAAGAAAAATAATTACTTTGTATACACTGTCACTACTTACCAAAGCTCAGTTAAAAGAATATCATGGGGAATGATCTAAAACAATGTTTCTAAAACTTTAATATGCTTATCAGTCACTACTGATATTGTTCAAACACAAGATTCTGATTCAACAGACCTGGGGTGGGATCCTAGACTCTACATTTGTAACAAGTTCCTAGATGAAAACAATCCTATTGAGGCATGGAGTGGGAAGATCTAAACCATATTCCTTCACTCCTCAAGATTTCCTAAAATCTACCCATGATTTAAATTAGTGCCACAGAGAACTGGATACTGTGTTACCTAGTAACCTAGGTTACCCGGAGGGTCTTTTTTTTTTTTTTTTTTTAATTTTTATTTATTTCTGATAGAGAGAGAGAGAGAGAGAGAGAGGCAGAGACATAGGCAGAGGGAGAAGCAGGCTCCATGCACCAGGAGCCCGACGTGGGATTCGATCCTGGGTCTCCAGGATCGCGCCCTGGGCCAAAGGCAGGCGCCAAACCGCTGCGCCACCCAGGGGTCCCCCCGGAGGGTCTTTTAATGAGTGTTGGAGGAGGTAAGAAAAAAGAAAGAGAACCCAACAATGAGAACTTCCTGACAAAATGACAATGAGTCCAAAAAAGGGGAATGGGGGAAAAGTATACTTCAGAACAAAGAATCAATAATTGTACCACTCATTTTGGTCAATGCATAAAAAATATAATAATTACAGTAAGATTGATGCAACATCATTAAATCATTTTTTTTCTTTGTCCTCTCTTTAATATTATCATGGCTGTGTTTTTCACTGCCTTGGGAACTTGGGTCTCTTTTGTGTTCCTTTTAGAGAAAATTTCAAACAAACTGTTATTCATTTATTCAGCAAATATTTTCTGAATGTTTACCTTATGAAAGTATTACTCTAGGCACCAGGGCTGCATCAGTGATCTTAAAAGTCAACAGCCTTATGGAGCCTACACTTAGAAAGGAAGGCCAGAGGTAAACTAATGAAGAGATCCACAATATACTATCATGTCATAGTATCTTGTATGATGAAAATAAAGGCAGTGGTGCTCTTTTAGGTGGGGGTTAGCAAATGGTTCTTACAGGAGGCTGCATCTATCCACAAGATAAAATCACATCTGCCTAATTCTGCCATTAGGAATCATACAAACATGGGTAATCCAAAATTAATCCCAGGTAATCCAAAATTAATTCTTGCACCAAGAAATCAAGATCAATGAATATATGATCACAATATTTTCTTTCATAATATGTGTAGGTGTTTACATATAAATGTGTGTATATGTCTGTCGTTATCTATCTTCCCTATCTACCTTCATCTACTACTATTACTACTACTACTACTATGACTACTACTGCTACTACCACCACCATAGGTCTATGATTCCTAATCTGAGACTCAGAAATCCAAAAAGCTTTGAAAACCAACAAATTTCTTATAACTCATTTGGAGGAACACTCAACTCATCTGACCGTTGGTGGCAAAGCCTGACCTAAACCAACTTTAAAAGGCCTATATAGTGGCCTCTCATTCTGGCTTAATGAGAATATCCATATGCTTTACTGAAAAATATTAATATGTTTTCATTACAGTTTTCACTGCAGACCCACTTATCTTCTTACCTTTCTTAAGTTTGAAATTCTCTGAATTTCTAAGAATATCTGGCCCCAAAGTTTTGAATAAAGGATTGTGGATCTGTGCAACTACTACAAAGTACAACTATTAACTACTGTTTTTGCATGTGCTACAAAACTTTACCTTTGAGTAGCTCTGTATTTATTACTCCAAATAATTCCATCTCATTAGCTGAAGCCTGAAAAGAAAACTTTGCAACTAATCCACCTATTGTTTAATGAATACATTTGACTTTTAAACTTTTTTTCTGATCATTTAAGAAAGTAAATTATAGCAAATCTAACTCAATGCAGTATTAACAGTCATGGCAATATTCAAGCCTGGATACCAGCATTTTGTATGTCTACTCGTACTTTCTATGTCTACTTACTATTACTACTGAAGTTTTCATTCATATTCAACATCCATGTCTGGTGCATTTTGTTTGATGAAAACAAGCTAATTAGTGTTGAACCTTCCCTAGTTCATAAATTTATTCCTAAGAACATTAAAAGGAAGTCAAGTGAGACATGTTCAGTAACAGATGTTTGCCTTTTTTGGCTGCCTTTTTACAGTTTGTTCTCTTTCATTACTTTTTAAGAAATTTAGTTAATGTTCCTTTTACAAGAGAACAAACGTACCTAGCTTCCCAGCAGATGGGGGGTGCAGGGAGATTCCCCAGGGCAGGCACAGTCTGTTCATTCCCATAACCTAATATATGCTCTCTGCATTCAACTTTCATTCTTTCATCCAGACCTTGGTAAGAATCACACTCCAGCCTAAAAAAGAATGCATATGTTGACTGGAGACTATAGAACTAGAATTACTGAGGGCACTATTACGAACATACATGGGTCTAGTTCCTCTCAAATATCTTTCCCACATGGAGATATCTCAGAATAAAGGATCAATAAGATTGAGAATTTGGTTGAATCTTCTGGCTTCTACAATAAAGATTGTGAAATGGCTTCCAAAACTAAAATCCAATGGTCCTTTATAATAAATGAGAAATGTAGATTAAGATTTATCTCTATAAAATTAGATTGCTCCAAAAATACAAATTTAAAATTATCCTATTTATTTACCTAGCCCTCCGGTTTTGAATATTGTTTAGTCTGGGTTTGATTGTGATGTGGTTTAAATGATAATACACTGGAACTCTAAGTAACATTGCAATCCAGATCTTGTACTCACCAAGAGTGCTTTCTTTTAAAACTTTGTGAAAATAGTCGAATATAAGTCTTGACCAATTTATTGTGACTATTCCTCTTGACCTATTCATTGCTAAGGGAATTTTGCATGGAGCACCTCCTATATTTTTCTCAATAACTAGTATTTTAACTATGATAATAGTAGGAAATTTTATCTAGAAAGAAAAATTCAATAAAATAAAATAAATGATGACTATAAAAATATACTTCAGCCAAAATAATACTGCTGCAAAGCACCATAACTATTGAAATGTTTAATGTTTAACCTACAACTGTGTAAATTTAAAATCTACTTCACTCTATCATTAAGATTAAAAACTTTAGAGATTAATGATTGTCAGGGGCTAAGAGAAGGAAGGAATGGGGAAACTGCTAATGGGTATGGGGTTTCTTTTGGGGACTGTGAAAATATTCTGAAAGAGGTAGTAGTGATGCCTATACAACTTTGTGAAAATATTAAAAATAACTGAATCATATATTTTGAAATATTGAATTCTATGAGTTATATCTCAAAAAAGCTTCTATTTTAAAAAGATTAAAAACTTTTATATTTCCTAGGAAAAGAAATATGCATTTCAAAATGAAAATACTAAGGTTGAAGATAATGGACACAAGGCATCACTACACCTTGTAGTATGACCGAAACAAATAAACTAAAAAGTACACAGATAAGAGTGAACTACTGGAATGCTATTCGAAATGTTCAAAAATCATAGTCACTTAGCTTTTAACTCATTGCCTAAATTAATCCTAAGACTAATTTAGTTACTTTCAAAAAGTAACTTTATTTCTACCCAAAATGACAAAAAAGAATTAGGAAATTATTTGAACAAATAGAAAATTTAAATTTAGTAGTTGTGATGATTTGTGCTAATTCTTACAAATATCAGAAAATCAGGGACACTTGGGTGGCTCAGCAGTTAATTGCCTGCCTTCGGCTAGAGCATGATCCTGGAGTCCCTGGGATTGAGTCCCACCATCAGGCTCCCTGCACGGAGCCCACTTCTCCCTCTGCCTGTGTCTTTGTCTCTCTCTCTGGGTCTCTCATGAATAAATAAGCAAATAAAATCTTTTAAAAAAAATCAGAAAATCAAATCACATGACCTATTTTTTTTAAATCAAATGCAGCCCACCGGGGAGAAAATCATGAGTATGAAAATAATTAAAACACCTCCTCAAATGTTTTGGAGATGAGAAGGAGAAGCTCAAAAGAAATTGGGATGGGGAAAAAAGAAATGTGTAAAGATGCCTTACATGCTAACTTAACTGATTTTTATTATGTAATAAAATCCTTCGAGTGAATGCCCATAGTCTTCTGACAGTACAATTTGGTAAAGATCACAAAAAAGGTATCTAAATTTCCAAGCTAAAGGAAGAATATTTCCCTAGATTCTTACATTTTTTTCTTTTACCAAAATGGCTCAAGAAAATTCTCCAGAAAAAAAGTAACTAGAAAGTTCATATTAGAATACAGTCAACTCATTTTATGGTCAAAATTAAGTTTGTGTGGATTAAAAGCAATACCACCGCAAAAATTTGGCAGCAGAGTAGGAGGATCCTAGGCTCATCTCATCCCATGAACACAACTAAGTAACTATCAAATCATCCTAAATACATGACAGAACAAACTACACACTAACGGGAAAGAAGAAGCCATATTGAAGAAGGTAGGAAGTGCAGAGATGTGGTTTAACGGAGAAACAGATCTTAGCTGATGAAAAGGGGAGGGACCTGTGGTCATGAAGATGGGTGACAGAGAGAAGAGCACAGAGGAGAACACATAAGGAAAATGTTTCCCCAAAGCTATTGGCTTGGAACAGTAGAAGGGCTAAGTTTTATGAGTTCTTGCAACCAGTGGGGTTGAAAGCCTGAGTTTTAAAGGTCAGCAGCCTTGCTGGGATAGAGCCAGGAGGCCACTGTGCTGCTCCTAGAGAGAAGGCAAGCAAACCTGGGTGCAAATAGCATGGAAAGCATCCAGGGCATACAGGGGAGAGTTAGTCACTATTCTAGGAGCAATTCCCTGAGAGGCAACATTCAAGAGGATGCCTCTCTGGGAACAAAGGAGCTGGCTGGCACCATTTCCCTCCCCAGCTCCTCAGCATAAACATAGAGCCACCCAAGGGAAGTAGTTCAGCACAGACACTAGCTGCCTAACTTGCTTATACCAAACGTCAACCCCCCAGCACTCACGCAGGACTGCCCTTTCAGTTAAGCTTGCCTCAGTCCCAGCAAGGTGGACCCCTCCCGCAGAAGACCAGTGCAGGCCCCTGCCCACACCATGTCTCCTGACCAGAGAGTTCTTGCAGGGCCTCAGTTCTGGTGGAGTTGGTGTCAAGTCTCACTTCACAAGCAGAACACACCTAGTTAAAACTTGTTACAGGGACCAAACTCTGCCCACAGCAGGCAAGGAGAGCCTATGCAGACATTTGGCCTGAAGGATGGAGTGGCCAAAACACAACAGCAGAGTGCAACAGCACACACTTCAGATACCCTCTGAAGTACCAGACCCTGGACACTACATGATCTCTTCTTCATAAGGCCAACACTTTAAGGAGCAGGAGACATAACTGGCTTTTCTAACATGAGAAGGCAGAGACCTAGACAAAATGCCAAAACAGGAGAGTTTATCCCAAATGAAAGAACAAGATAAGTCCATAGCCAGAGATCTAAGTGAAACAGATATAAGTAACATGCCTGATGGAGAATTTAAAGAACAATCATAAGGATACTCACTGAGCTTGAGAAAAGAAGACATCACTGAAAACTCTTACCTCAGAAATGAAAGAGTTCAAAAAAATCAATCAGAGATGAATACAATAAATGAGATGAAAATAGGTTTGATGCAATGAATTGGCCGGAAGAAATGAAGAAATGAATTAGTAACCTAGAAGACAAAATAGTGGGAAATAATGAAGCTCAACCAAAGGGAGAAAGTATTATGCAACATGAGAACAGACAGGAAACTCGGTGACATCATCATACAATAAAATTCTTATTATAGGATTCCCAGCAGAAGATGGAGAAAAAGGGGTAGAAGTTTTATTTCAAGAAATAATAGCTGAAAACTTCCCTAATCTGGGAAAGGCAGCAGACATCCAGCTCCAGGAGGCAAAGAGAACTTCCATCAAAATCAACAAAAGTAGGTCAACACCAAGACATATTGTAATTAAGTTTACAAAATATAGCAATGAAGAAAAAAATCATAAAAGCAGCAAAACAAAAGAAGTCCTTAACTTTCAACGGAAAACCATAAGGTTAGCAGGAGATTTCTCAACAGAAATTTGGCAAGTCTAAGAGAGTGGCATGATATATTCAAAGTGTTGAATGGAAAAAATCTGCAGCCAAAGAATATTCTATCAGGGCCTCTCTGGGAGATATTCTATTCATTCAGAATAGAAAAACAGATAGAGTGTCCCAGACAAACAAAAACTAAAGGAGTTCATGACTACTAAACCAACTCTATAAGAAATATTAAAGGGGACTTTGAGTGCAAAGGAGAGACTAAAAGTGACAAATAAGAAAGGATCAGAGAAACTCTCCAGAAATAATAACAACTAATAAAATGGCAAAAATACATATCTATCAATAATTACTCTGAATGTAAATGGATTAAATGCTCCAATCAAAAGACATGGGGTGTCAGAATGGACAAGACTACAAGACCCATCTATATGTTGCCTACAAGAGACTCATTTTAGACCTAAAGACACCTACAGATTAAAACTGAGGGGGTAGAAAAGTATTTATCACACAAATGGACATCAAAAGAAAGAGTAGCTATACTTATACTGGACAAACTAGACTTTTTTGTTCTTGTATTGTTCTTATCCTGCTTTGGTATCAGGATAGTCCTGGCCTCATAGAATGATTTTGAATGTGTTTGCTCTGTTCCATTCTTTGTAAGATTTTGATAATGATTGTCATTAATTTTTTTTACATGTTTGGTAGAATTCACCAATGAAACCATGTAGTCTTGGATTTTTCTGTGCTAGGGGATTTTTGATTCCTAACTCAACTTTCATTCTTGTTATTCGTCTGACTTCTTATTTGTTGGATTTAAGAATCATAATTCAATCATGATAACTTAGGCATTTTCAAGAATTATCTGGTTTTTTTCTGATTTGTTAGAATATAATTATTTATAGGAATCTGTTATTACACTATGTATTCTGTGATTACCTGTATATTGTTTTCTCTTCCATTTCTCATTTTAGTTTTTGAGTCTTCACTCTTTTTCCTCTTAATGTCATTAAAGCACTGCATTGTTATTTAGAAAAAAAATGGCCATTATATTCAATGTTATGTTATTATTTTGCTATTTTATTTATTTCTAATTTTTCTTATTTCCTTCTACTAAATTTCAACCAAGTTTCTTCTTTTTCTAGTTTCTTATGGCGTAAGGTTGTTTATTTGAACTTTTTTGCTTAACACAAACATTTACAGTATAAATTTAACTCTAACATCTACTTTGCTGCATCCCATAGGTTTTGGAATATTGTGTTTTATTTTTCTTTTGTTTGGAGACATATTTTGATTTGCTATTTGATTTCTTATTAGGCCTATTAGTT